TTGGGACCCCCCCCAAAAAAAAATTGGGGCTCCCTCGTTGGAACTGGGACCCCCCAATGGGATTGGGACCCCCCCAAAAAAAAAATTGGGGTCCCCTCTGTGGAACTGGGACCCCCCCAGTGGGATTGGGACCTCTAATGGGATTGGGACCCCCAAAAAAAAATTGGGACCCCTCTGTGGAACTGGGACCCCCTTGGCACTGGGACCCCCAATGGGATTGGGACCCTCTAATGGGATTAGGACCCCCAAAAAAAAAAAATTGGGGCCCCTCTGTGGAACTGGGACCCCCCCAATGGGATTGGGACCCTCTAATGGGATTGGGACCCCCCCAAAAAAAAAAATTGGGGTCCCCTCTGTGGAACTGGGACCCCCAGTGGGATTGGGACCCTCTAATGGGATTGGGACCCCCCCAAAAAAAAAAATTGGGGTCCCCTCTGTGGAACTGGGACCCCCCCAGTGGGATTGGGACCCTCTAATGGGATTGGGACCCCCCCCAAAAAAAAAATTGGGGCCCCCTCTGTGGAACTGGGACCCCCCCAATGGGATTGGGACCCCCCCCAAAATAATTGGGGCCCCCTCTGTGGAAATGGGACTCCCCCAATGGGATTGGGACCCCCCCTCCCCAAAAAATTGGGGTCCCCTCTGTGGAACTGGGACCCCCCCTTGGCACTGGGACCCTCTAATGGGATTGGGACCCCCCCCCAAAATAATTGGGACCCCCTCTGTGGAACTGGGACCCCCCCTTGGCACTGGGACCCTCTAATTGGATTGGGAGCCCCCCCCAAAAAAAAAATTGGGGCCACCCCTTGGCACTGGGACCCCCCCAATGGGATTGGGACCCCCCCCCAAAATAATTGGGGCCCTCTGTGGCCCTGGGACCCCCCCAATGGGATTGGGACCCCCCCCAAAAATAAATTGGGGCCCCCTCTGTGGAACTGGGACACCCCCAATGGGATTGGGACCCCCCCCAAAAAAAAATTGGGGCCCCCCCTGTGGAACTGGGACCCCCCCTTGGCACTGGGACCCTCTAATGGGATTGGGACCCCCCCCCAAAAAAAAATTGGGGTCCCCTCTGTGGAACTGGGACCCCCCCAATGGGATTGGGACCCTCTAATGGGATTGGGACCCCCCCAAAAAAAAAATTGGGGCCCCCTCTGTGGCCCTGGGACCCCCCCTTGGCACTGGGACCCCCCCAATGGGATTGGGACCCTCTAATGGGATTGGGACCCCCCCAAAAAAAAAAATTGGGGGCCCCTCTGTGGAACTGGGACCCCCCCAATGGGATTGGGACCCTCTAATGGGATTGGGACCCCCCCCCAAAAAAAATTGGGGGCCCCACTGTGGAACTGGGACCCCCCCAGTGGGATTGGGACCCTCCCAAAAAAAAAATTGGGGCCCCCTCTGTGGAACTGGGACCCCCCTTGGCACTGGGACCCCCCCAATGGGATTGGGACCCCCCCCAAAATAATTGGGGCCCCCTCTGTGGAACTGGGACCCCCCCAATGGGATTGGGACCCCCCCAAAAAAAAAATTGGGACCCCCTCTGTGGAACTGGGACCCCCCCAATGGGATTGGACCCCCCCAAAATAATTGGGGCCCCCTCTGTGGAACTGGGACCCCCCCAATGGGATTGGGACCCTCTAATGGGATTGGGACCCCCCCAAAAAAAAAATTGGGGGCCCCCTCTGTGGAACTGGGACCCCCCCAGTGGGATTGGGACCCCCCCCAAAATAATTGGGGCCCCCTCTGTGGAAATGGGACTCCCCCAATGGGATTGGGACCCCCCCTCCCCAAAAAATTGGGGTCCCCTCTGTGGAACTGGGACCCCCTTGGCACTGGGACCCTCTAATGGGATTGGGACCCCCCAAAATAATTGGGACCCCTCTGTGGAACTGGGACCCCCTTGGCACTGGGACCCTCTAATGGGATTGGGACCCCCCCTCCCCAAAAAACTGGGGCCCCCACTGTGGAACTGGGACCCCCCCTTGGCACTGGGACCCTCTAATTGGATTGGGAGCCCCCCCCAAAAAAAAAATTGGGGCCACTCCCTGGCACTGGGACCCCCAATGGGATTGGGACCCCTCCCCATAAAAATTGGGGCTCCCTCGTTGGAACTGGGACCCCCCCTTGGCACTGGGACCCTCTAATGGGATTGGGACCACCCCCCAAAAAAAAATTGGGGGCCCCACTGTGGAACTGGGACCCCCCCATGGGATTGGGACCCCCCCATGAAATTGGGACCCCCCCATGGAACTGAGACCCTCCCCCCATGGAATTGGGCCCCCCATCATGAAACTGAGACCCCCTCCCAGAATTGGGACCCCCCCATGAAATTGGGCCTCCCGAATTTGGGACACCCCCCTCATGAAACTGGGACCCTCCCCATGGAACTGGGACACCCCTCTCATGAAATTGGGACCTCCCCCAAATTTGAAACCCCCCCCATGAAATTGGGTCCCCCATGGAACTGGGACACTCCCCATGAAACTGGGATCCCCCATGGAACTGGAAACCCTCCCATGGAATTGAGACCCCCATGAAATTGGGACCCCCATGGAATTGAGACCCCCCATGGAATTGGGACCCCCTGTGAAATTGGGACCCTCCCCGAATTTGGGACCCCTCCCAAGAAATTGGGACACCCCCTCCCATGAAATTGGGACCCCTCCCAATGAAACTGTGACCCCCCTGAAACTGGGACACTCCCATGGAATTGGGTCCCCCTGTGAAATTGGGACCCTCCCCGAATTTGGGACCCCCTCATGAAACTGGGACCCTCCCCATGGAATTGAGACCCCCTCATGAAACTGGGACCCCTCCCATGGAATTGAGACCCCCTGTGAAATTGGGACCCCCATGGAACTGGGACCCCCTGTGGAATTGAGACCCCCCATGGAATTGGGCCCCCATCATGAAACTGAGACCCCTCATGAAATTGGGACCCCCAAGAAACTTTGACCCCCTCAAGAAATTGGGACACCCCTCCTATGAAGTTAGGACCCCCATGGAATCGGGACCCTCCTGAATTTGGGACACTCCCCTCATGAAATTGGGACCCCCATGAAATTGGGACCCCCCATGGAATTGAGACCCTCCCATGAAACTGGGACCCCCATGGAACTGGGACCCCTCCCATGGAATTGAGACCCCCTGTGAAATTGGGACCCCCATGGAACTGGGACCCCTCCTATGGAATTGAGACCCCCTGTGAAATTGGGACCCCCATGGAACTGGGACCCCCTCGTGGAATTGAGACCTCCCATGGAATTGGGCCCCCATCATGAAACTGAGACCCTCCCAGAATTGGGACACCCCCATGGAACTGGGGCCCCCCCTCATGAAATTGGGACCCTCCCCATGAAACTGGGACCCCCTCATGAAACTGGGACCCCTCCTATGGAATTGAGACCCCCTGTGAAATTGGACATCCCCACATGGAATTGGGACCCCCATGGAATTGAGACCCCCCCCTGTGAAATTGGGACCCCCCATGGAACTGGGGCCCCCTCAAGAAATTGGGACATCCCCCACATGGAATTGGGACCCTCCCCATGAAATTGGGACCCCCCCCATGAAACTGGGACCCCCCTCATGAAACTGGGACCCCCCTATGGAACTGGGGCCCCCTCAAGAAATTGGGACACCCCCTGATGAAACTGGGACCTTCCTCAGAATTGGGACCCTCCCCATGGAATTGGGACCCCCTCCCAATGAAACTGTGACCCCCGAAACTGGGACCCCAGCCCAACCCATTGGAACCCAACGAGGCATCGAGAACCCAACTCAACCCATGGGAACCTAATCCCACCCCCTCGTTGCCCCCCAAGGCTTCATTTCCCCCCCAAACCCCACTAGGCCTCAATGCCCCCCCGGTTCCCATGGCAACGCCGCCATCTTTACTGCGGGCAAAGCTTCGCCCTCCCGCCAACCACTTCCGCCTTCTCCGCCAATCAGCGCCTCGCTTTCCCTACCACGTGACTCTAGCGGTGTTTCCCGAACCCGGAAGTGGCGCCGCCATGGAGCCCTCGAGACCCCGTGAGGGGTTTTTTTGGGGGAGGGGTTTTTTTGGGGGGTCCCGGGGGGGTTTTTTGGACCCTCCCCCGACCCTAAAACTCCCCACCCTAAAACTCCCCCACCCTAAAACTCCCCCCACCCTAAAACTCCTCCTCTCTCCTTGGTTCCCATGGCAACGCCGCCATCTTTGATCCTCCCTTCCGCCAACAACTTCCGCCATCTCAGCCAATCAGCGCCCCGCTTCCCGTACCACGTGACCCGGAAGCGTCGCCACCATGGAGCCCTCGAGACCCCATGAGGGGTTTTTGGGAGGGTTTTTGGGGGTCCTGGGGCCGTTTTGGACACCCCCACCCTAAAACTCCCCCCACCCTAAAATCCCCCCACCCTAAAACTCCTCCTTTCCCCCTTGGTTCCCATGGCAACTGCGCCATCTTTGACCCTCCCTCCCGCCAACAACTTCCGCCTTCTCCTCCAATCAGCGCCTCGCTTCCCGTACCACGTGACCCGGAAGCGTCACCGCCATGGAGCCCTCAGGACCCCGTGAGGGTTTTTTTGGGGGATTTTTGGGGGTCCTGGGGCCGTTTTTTGGACCCTCCCCCACCCTAAAACTCCCTCCCACCCTAAAATCCCCCACCCTAAAACTCCTCCTTTCCCCTTGGTTCCCATGGCAACGCCGCCATCTTTGACCCTCCCTCCCGCCAACAACTTCCGCCTTCTCCTCCAATCAGCGCCTCGCTTCCCGCACCACGTGACCCGGAAGCGTCGCCGCCATGGAGCCCTCAGGACCCCGTGAGGGTTTTTTTTTGGGGGGGTTTTTTTGGGGGGCTCCCGGGGGGGGTTTTTTTTGACAAAAACCCTTTAAAAATGCGTCTTTTTTTACAGCCTCCAAACGCCGCGGCCCCGCCGCCCGCCTGGCGGCTCCGCGGCCGCTCTTCGAGGACACGAGCGGGGCGGGGGTCGCTGCTGGGGGTTAGGGGTCTCACATCCCCCCTCCTTCGGCCTCCTCCTCCTCCTCCTCGTCCTCCTCGCCCTTCCCCGCGGCCGGAGCCTTCCTGAGCGAGCCCGTGAGCAGCTTGGCCGCCGCTTACGGCTCCTCCTTGGCCTCGCACGTGGAGGGGAACGTGAGTTTTTTGGGGTAAAAAAGGGGGTTTTGGGGGTCTCCAGGGTGCTGAAAGACCCCTCCCTGTCCCCCTCAGCTCGAGCGGTGGGTGCCGGTGGGCAGATTGAAGTATTATTTCGCCGTGGACACGGTTTATGTGGCGAGGAAGCTGCGGCTGCTGCTCTTCCCCTTCGGCCACCAGGTGGGAAAATGGGGGGGGTCTGGGGGGGTTAAAAGGGGAATTTGGGGGTGTCTGGCGGGGTTAAAGGGGTCTGGGGGGTTAAGGGGGTCTGGGGGCGTTAAATGGGCGTTAAAGGGGGGTTGAGGGGTTAAAGGGGTTTGGGGGTTAAAAGGGGATTTGGGGGTTTAAAGTGGGTCTGGGGGTTAAAGTGGCGTTTGGGGGTCGAGGGGGTTAAAGGGGGTTTGGGGGGTTAGGAGGTTAGAGGGGTTTGGGGGCTTTAAAAAGGGATTTGGGGGTTAAAAGGGGTTTGAGGGGGTTAAAAAGGGGGTCTGGGGGGTTAAAGTGGCGTTTGGGGGTCAGGGGGTTAAAGGGGGTTTGGGGGTTAAAAGGGGAATTTGGGGTGGTCTGGGGCGGCTTAAAGGGGTCTGAGGGGTTAAGGGGGTCTAGGGGGTTAAAGGGGAATTTGGGGGCTCTGGGGGGTTAAAAGGATTTTGAGGGGTTAAAGGGGGTCGGGAGGGGTTAAAAGGAAATTTGGGGGATCTGGGGAGGTTAAAGGGGGTTTGAGGGGTTAAAGGGGGCTGGGGGTTAAAGGGAGATTTTGGGGGTTAGAGGGGGTCTGGGGGTTAAAAGGGGGTTTGGGGGTGTTAAAGGTGGGTCTGGGGGTTAAAAGGGAATTTGGGGGTCTGGGGGTTAAAGGGAACTGGGGGGTTAAAAGGGAATTTGGGGGTCTGGGGGCTTAAATGGGGGTTAAAGGGGGTTGAGGGGTTAAAGGGGCTTGGGGGTGTTAAAGGGGTCTGGGGGTTAAAAGGAGATTTTGGGGGTTAGAGGGGGTCTGGGGGTTAAAGGGAGTCTGGGGGTTAAAATGGGGTCTGGGGGTTAAAAGGGGTTTGGGGGTGTTAAAGGTGGGTCTGGGGGTTAAAGGGAATTTGGGGGTCTGGGGGTTAAAGGGGAACTGAGGGTTAAAAGGGAATTTGGGGGTCTGGGGGCTTAAATGGGGGTTAAAGGGGGTTGAGGGGTTAAAGGGGCTTGGGGGGTGTTAAAGGGGGTCTGGGGGTTAAAGGGAGATTTTGGGGGTTAGAGGGGGTCTGGGGGTTAAAGGAGTCTGGGGGTTAAAATGGGGGTCTGGGGGTTAAAAGGGGTTTGGGGGTGTTAAAGGTGGGTCTGGGGGGTTAAAGGGAATTTGGGGGTCTGGGGGTTAAAGGGGTCTGGGGGTGTTAAAGGTGGGTCTGGGGGTTAAAGGGGAATTTGGGGGCTCTGGGGGTTAAGGGGGTCTGGGGGTTAAAGGGGAATTTGGGGGCTCTGGGGGTCTCTGACCGGGCAGCCCCCAGGACTGGCAGGTTCGGTACCAGCAGGACGCCCCTGTCGCCCCCGCCCGATGTCAACGCCCCGACCTTACATCCCGGTAGGGACCCCCAGAGACCCCCAAAACCCTCCCAATTCCCCTGGGACCTCCCCAAACCCCCCAATTCCCTGGGACCCCCTGGGACCCCCAGAGACCCCAAAGCCCCCTGGGACCCCTAAACCCCTTGGGACCCCCTAATCCCCCAGCTTCAATGTCAACCTTACATCCTGGGTAGGGACCCCCAGAGACCCCCCCAATATCCCTGGGACCCCCAAAACCCTCCCTGGGACCCCCCCAAACCCCCCAATCCTCCTGGGACCCCTCAGAGACCCCCAAACCCCCTGGGACCCCCAAATTCCCTGGGACCCCAACCCCTCCTGCTTCAATCTCAACACCCTGACCTTTACATCCCGGGTAGGGACCCCTGGGACCCCCAAACCCCCCTGGGACCCCCTAACCCTCACTCCCTTGGGACCCCCAGAGACCCCTAAGCCCCTCTGGGACCCCCAAACCCCTGGAGACCCCCAAAACCCCCAAAATAACCCCCCACCCCCCAATTCTTGCAGCCATGGCCTTCCTGACCTACATCCTGCTGGCTGGGCTGGCCCTGGGCACCCAAAACAGGTACAAAAACCCCCAGAACCCCCAAAACGGGTACAAAACACCCCAAAACCCCCAAAATGGGTACAACCCCCCAAAACTGGTACAAACCCCCAAAATGGGTACAAAACCCCCCAAAACCCCCAAAAACAGATACAAAACCCCCTAAAACAGGTAGAAAAACACCACAAACCCCCCCAAAACGGGTACAAAACCCCTCAACCCCTCCCCAACCCCACAGGGGGATCCCCACAACCCTTTTGGGGACCCTAAATCATTTTTGGGGACCCCTAAATTATTTTTTGGGGGGGATTTGGGGCCCCCCAGGTTCTCCCCAGGCAGCCTGGGGCTGGCCCTGGGCACCCAAAACAGACACAAAACCCCCAACCCCCCAAAACAGGTACAAAACCCCCTCAAACCGCTCCCCAACCCCACAGGGAATCCCCTGACCCTTAACCTTAATTTTTTGGGGGCTTTGGACCCCAGGTTCTCCCCAGACAGCCTGGGGCTGACCTGGGCACCCAAACAGGTACAAACCCCCAAACCCCCCAAAACGGGTACAAAACCCCCATTTACCCCCCAAACAGGTACAAACCCTCCCCAAACCCCTCCCCAACCCCACAGGGGGATCCCCACGACTCTTTTAACCCCCCTAAATCATTTTTGGGGACCCCTGAATTATTTTTTGGGGGTTTGGACCCCCAGGTTCTCCCCAGACAGCCTGGGGCTGGTGGCCAGCTCAGCCCTGGCCTGGCTGGTGCTGGGCACCCAAAATGGGTACAAAACCCCCCTTTTTTTTCCCCAAACCCTTCCCCAACCCCACAGGGGGATCCCCACGACCCTTTTAACCCCCCTAAATGATTTTTTGGGGACCCCTAAATTAATTTTTGGGGGATTTGGACCCCCAGGTTCTCCCCAGACAGCCTGGGGCTGGCCCTGGGCACCCAAAACAGGTACAAAACCCCCCCAAACCCCCCCAAAACAGGTACAAAACCCCCCCAAACCCCCTCCCCAACCCCACAGGGGGATCCCCACGACCCTTTTGACCCCCTAAATTAATTTTTGGGGGGGATTTGGGACCCCCCAGGTTCTCCCCAGACAGCCTGGGGCTGGCCCTGGGCACCCAAAACAGGTACAAAACCCCCCAAAAGAGGTACAAACCCCCCCAAAACAGGTCCAAAACCACCTCAAACCCCCTCCCCAACCCCACAGGGGGATCCCCCCGACCCTTTTGACCCCCTAAATTAATTTTTGGGGGTTTGGACCCCCAGGTTCTCCCCAGACAGCCTGGGGCTGGTGGCCAGCTCAGCCCTGGGCACCCAAAACAGGTACAAAACCCCCCAAAACAGGTACAAAAACCCCCATTTACCCCCCCAAAACAGGTAGAAAACCCCTCCCCAACTCCACAGGGGGATCCCCCCGACCCTTTTGACCCCCTAAATTAATTTTTGGGGGGGTTTGGACCCCCAGGTTCTCCCCAGACAACCTGGGGCTGGTGGCCAACTCGGCCCTGGCCTGGCTGGCCCCAGGCACCCAAAACAGACACAAACCCCTTTATCCCCCAAAACAGGTCCAAAACCCCTCAAACCCCTCCCCAGACCCCACAGGGTGATCCCCTGACCCCTAAATTAATTTTTGGGGGGGTTTGGACCCCCAGGTTCTCCCCAGACAGCCTGGGGCTGGTGGCCAGCTCAGCCCTGGGCACCCCAAACAGATACAACCCCCCCCCCCAAACAGGTCCAAACCCCCCCAAAACAGGTCCAAAACCCCCTCAAACCCCTCCCCAATCCCACAGGGGGATCCCCCCGGCCCTTTTGACCCCCTAAATTAATTTTTGGGGGGGTTTGGACCCCCAGGTTCTCCCCAGACAGCCTGGGGCTGGTGGCCAACTCAGCCCTGGGCACCCAAAACAGACACAAAACCCCCCCAAACCCCCCCAAAACAGGTCCAAAACCCCCCCAAACCCCTCCCCAATCCCACAGGGTGATCCCCCTGACCCCTAAATAATTTTTTTGGGGGGGTTTGGGACCCCCAGGTTCTCCCCAGACAGCCTGGGGCTGGTGGCCAGCTCGGCCCTGGGCATCCAAACCCCCCCCCAAACAGGTACAAAAACCCCCATTTACCCCCCCAAAACAGGTCCAAAACCCCTCCCCAACCCCACAGGGGGATCCCCCGACCCTTTTAACCCCCTAAATAATTTTTTGGGGGGATTTGGGGGGTCTCAGGTTCTCCCCAGACAGCCTGGGGCTGGTGGCCAGCTCGGCCCTGGCCTGGCTGGTGCTGGAGGTGCTGAGCGTCCTGCTGAGCCTCTACCTGGTGACCGTCAGCACTGACCTCACCCCCATCGACCTGCTGGCCTTCTCTGGCTACAAATACGTGGGGTGAGCCCTTCCCCACGCCCTGATCCAGTTTTTTGTGGGATAAACCCCCCTTTAATCCCGATTTTTCCCCAAATCCAGGATGATCGTGGGGCTCGTGGCGGGGCTGCTGCTGGGCCGGCCCGGCTACTTCGCCGTGCTCAGCTGGTGCTGCCTCAGCATCTTTATCTTCATGGTGAGCCACTTTGGGGATATTTAGGGTGGTCCTAAAGGCTCTGGGGGGGTTGATCCAGGTGAGTTTTGCTGATTTTTCCCTGTTTTTTTGGGGGCAGATCCGGACGCTGAGGCTGAAGTTGCTGTCGGAGGCGGCGGCCGAGGGGGTTTTGGTGAGGGGGGCCAAGAACCAGCTGAGGATGTACCTGACCATGGCCATCGCTGCTGCACAGCCCCTCTTCATGTACTGGCTCACCTACCACCTGCTCAGGTGAGGGGGGCGGGGATTTACCCCCCCAGATTCCCAAAATCCCAACAGGATTCCCAAAAATCCCAACAGGATTCCCAAAAATCTCTGAATATTCACATTGACTTCAATAAACGGGGTCTGTGGAGAGGTTGGGGTCTGTACTTTGAGTTTTGGGGGGTTTTTGGGGTCTGAACACGCTTTGGATGATGAGAGGTATTGGGGGAACCCTCTTTGGTGCCCCCAAATCCCCCCCAGATTCCCCAAATCCAGAGGGGATTCCCAAAAATCCCGACGTGTTCACAGCGGCTCCAATAAACGGGGTCTGTGGAGAGTTTGGGGTCTGTACTTTGAGTTTTGGGGGGATTTTTGGGGGGTTTTTGGGGTCTGAACAAGCTTTAAGTGGTGGGGGTATTGGGAAAACCCCCTGAAGTCCCCCTAAATCCCCCCCAAATTCCCAAAATCCAGAGGGGATTCCCAAAAATCCCTCAATATTCCCAGCGACTCCAGTAAACGGGGTCTGTGGAGAGTTTGGGGTCTGTGCTTTGAGTTTTGGGGGAATTTTGGGGGTCTTAGGGGTCTGAACACGCTTTGGGGGGTCGGGGGTATTGAGGAGACCCCAAAAAATCCCCCCAAATTCCCAAAATCTGGAGCAGATTCCCGAAAATCTCTCAATATTCCCAGCGACTTCAATAAACAGGGTCTGTGCAGGGTGTGGGGTCTGTGGAGGGTGTGGGGTCTGTGCTTTGAGTTTTGGGGGGATTTTGGGGGGTTTTGGGGTCTGAACATGCTTTGGGGGGTGGGGGGTATTGGGGAGACCCCCTTTGGTGTCCCAAAATCCCTCCAAATTCCCCAAATCCAGAGGGGATTCCCAAAAATCTCTGAATATTCACATTGACTTCAATAAACGGGGTCTGTGGAGAGGTTGGGGTCTGTACTTTGAGTTTTGGGGGGTGGGTTTTGGGGTCTGAACACACTTTGGGGGGTGGGGGGTATTGGGGAGACCCCCTTTGGTGTCCCAAAATCCCCCCAAATTCCCAAAATCCAGAGGGGATTCCCAAAAATCCCGACGTGTTCACAGCGGCTCCAATAAACGGGGTCTGTGGAGGGTGTGGGGTCTGTGCTTTGAGTTTTGGGGGGATTTTGGGGGGGTTTGGGGTCTGAACACACTTTAAGTGGTGGGGGGTATTGGGGAGACCCCAAAAAATCCCCCCAAATTCCCAAAATCTGGAGCAGATTCCCGAAAATCCCGACGTGTTCCCAGCGACTCCAATAAACGGGGTCTGTGCAGGGTGTGGGGTCTGTGCTTTGAGTTTTGGGGGGATTTTTGGGGGGTTTTTGGGGTCTGAACACACTTTAAGTGGTGGGGGGTATTGAGGAGACCCCAAAAAATCCCCCCAAATTCCCAAAATCCAGAGGGGATTCCCGAAAATCCCTGAATATTCCCAGCGACTCCAATAAACGGGGTCTGTGGAGGGTGTGGGGTCTGTGCTTTGAGTTTTGGGACAATTTGGGGGGGTTTTGGGGTCTGAACACGCTTTGGGGGGTCTTGGGTATTGGGGGAACCCTCTTTGGTGTCCCAAAATCCCCCCAAATTCCCAAAATCCAGAGGGGATTCCCAAAAATCCCAACGTGTTCACAGTGACTCCAATAAACGGGGTCTGTGGAATTTGGGGGGGGCTGGGCCTTGAGTTTTGGGGGGTTTTGGGGTCTGAACACACTTTGGGGACACTTTAGGGTCATTTTTGGGTCACTCTGGGGTCACTTTAGGGTCACTTTGGGGACACTTCTCTAGGGACACTTTGGGGTCACTTTAGGTCACTTCTTTAGGGTCACTCTGAGGACACTTTGGGGTCATTTTTGGGTCACTTTGGGGTCATTTTAGGGTCACTTTGGGGACACTTTGGGGTCACTCTGGGGACACTTTGGGGTCATTTTTGGGTCACTTTAGGGTCACTTCTTTAGGGTCACTTTGGGGTCACTTTGGGGTCGCTTCTTTAGGGTCACTTTGGGGACACTTCGGGGTCACTTCTTTAGGGTCACTTTGGGGACATTTTGGGGTCACTTCTTTAGGGTCACTTTGGGGACACTTTGGGGTCACTTCTTTAGGGTCACTTTGGGGACACTTTGGGGTCACTTCTTCTCTAGGGACACTTTGGGGTCACTTTGGGGTCGCTTCTTTAGGGTCACTTTGGGGACACTTTGGGGTCACTTCTCTAGGGACACTTTGGGGTCACTTTGGGGTCGCTTCTTTAAGGTCACTTTGGGGACACTTCGGGGTCACTTCTTTAGGGTCACTTTGGGGACATTTTGGGGTCACTTCTTTAGGGTCACTTTGGGGACACTTTGGGGTCACTTCTTTAGGGACACTTTGGGGTCACTCTGGAGACACTTTGGGGTCATTTCTTTAGGGTCAATTTGGGGACACTTTGGGGACACTTTGGGGTCACTTAGGGCTCACTTTAGGGTCACTTCTTTAGGGTCACTTTGGGGACACTCTGGGGACACTTTGGGGTCACTCTGGGGACACTTTGGGGTCACTTCTTTTTGATCACTTTGGGGACACTTTGGGGTCACTTTGGGGACACTTTGGGGTCACTTCTTTAGGGACACTTTGGGGTCACTTTAGGGTCACTTAGGGGTCACTTTGAGGACACTTCGGGGTCACTTCTTTGGGACACTCTGGAGATACTTTGGGGACGCTCTGGGGTCACTTTGGGGTCACTCTGGGGACACTTCTTTAGGGTCACTTTGGGGTCACTTTAGGGTCACTTCTTTGGGGTTGCTTTGGGGTCACTTTGGGGTCACTTTAGGGTCACTTCTTTAGGGTCACTTTGGGGACACTCTGGGGTCACTTCAGGGACACTTTGGGGTTGCTTCTTTAGGGTCACTTTGGGGACACTCTGGGGACACTTCGGGGTCACTTTGGGGACACTTTGGGGTCACTTCTTTAGGATCACTTTGGGGTCACTCTGGGATCACTTCGGGGACACTTTGGGGTCTCTTTGGGGTCACTTTGGGGTCACTTCTTTGGGGTCACTTTGGGGTCACTTTAGGGTCACTTCTTTGGGGACATTTTGGGGACACTTTGGGATCGCTTCTTTGGGACACTGGAGATACTTTGGGGTCACTCTGGGGACACTTTGGGGTCATTTTTGGGTCACTCTGGGGACACTTTGGGGTCACTTCTTTAGGGTCACTTTGGGGACACTTTGGGGTCACTTCTTTGGGGTCACTTTGGGGACACTGGGGTCACTTTGGGGACACTTTGGGGTCATTTTAGGGTCACTTTGGGGACACTTTAGGGTCACTCTGAGGACACTCTGGAGATACTTTGGGGACGCTCTGGGGTCACTTTGGGGTCACTCTGGGGACACTTCTTTAGGGTCACTTTGGGGTCACTTTAGGGTCACTTCGAGGGGACACTCTGGGGTCACTCTGGGGACATTTTTGGGACACTTTAAGGTCACTTCTTTGGGGTCACTTGGGGGACACTCTGGGGACACTTTGGGGTTGCTTCTTTAGGGTCACTTTGGGGACATTTTGGGGTCACTTTGGGGTCACTTCTTTAGGGTCACTTTGGGGTCACTGGGGACACTTCAGGGTCACTTTGGGGTCGCTTCTTTAGGGTCACTTTGGGGTCACTTTGGGGACACTTTAGGGTCGCTTCTTTGGGGTCACTTCAGGGACACTCTGGGGACACTTTGGGGTCATTTTTGGGTCACTTTGGGGACACTTTGGGGTCACTTTAGGGTCACTTCTTTAGGGTCACTTCGAGGACACTCTGAGGTCACTCTGGGGACATTTTTGGGTCATCTTTGGGTCACTTTGGGGACAGAAACACAACTTTATTCTCATCCTCTCCTCTCCTTTACCCCCCTCGAGGGAGCCACAAAAGGAGGGGGTCACAGAGAGGGGAGGGTCACAAGGGGTGGGGAGGGGTCAATAAAGGGGGAGGAAAGGGGTCAATGGGGGAGGAAAGGGGTCAATAAAGGGGAGGGGTCAATTGGGGGTATAAATTAGGGGTTTAGTGCAAACATCCCTACCAATAAATTACTAAGGGGGTGGGGTTTTTTGGGGGTGGGGGGGTGTTTTTGGGGGTGGGGGTGTTTTTGGGGGGTCCTGCCCTGCTGCCCCTCGTGGGGGTCATAGGAGCACCAGCGAGACCCCCTCTCGATTTTGGGGGAGGGGAACACACCTGACCCCCCGAAGTGCATTATTGGGGGTTGAGGGGTGTTGGGGAGGGGCTTTGTACAGGGGGGATTTGGGGGTCTCTGTACAGAGGAGGGTTGTCAGGGGGTCTTTTCACACGGGGGGGTTTCTCTGTGTGTCTGGGGGTCTGTACAGAAAGGGGGTGTTTTGGGGGTCTTGGTGTCCTGGGAGCTCTGTACAGAAGGGTGTTTTGGGAGGGTCTCTGTGTCTGGGGGTCTGTACAGAATGGGGGGTTGTTTGGGGGTCTCTGTGTTCGGGGGCTTTGGGGGTCTCTGTGTAAAAGGGGGTCTTGGTGTCCGGGGGGCTCTGTACAGGGGTGTTTTGGGGGGTCTCTGTGTTTAGGGGCGTCTTGGGGGTCTCAGGGGGTCTCTGTGTCTGGGGGGTCTAGTACAGAATGGGGGTGTCAGGGGTCTCTGTGTAAAAGGGGGTCTCTGTGTCTGGGGGGTCTTGGGGGGTCTCAGGGGGTCTCTGTGTCTGGGGGGTCTGTACAGAATGGGGGGGTGTTTTGGGGTGGGGTCTCTGTGTCTGGGGTCTGTACAGAAAGGGGGGTGTCAGGGGGTCTCTCTGTAAAAGGGGGTCTCTGTGTCTGGGGGTCTGTACAGAATGGGGGTGTTTTGGGGGTCTCTGTGTAAAAGGGCGGGGGTCTCTGTGTCTGGGGGTCTTGGGGGTCTCAGGGGGTCTCTGTGTCTGGGGGTCTGTACAGAAAGGGGGTGTCAGGGGGCTCTCTGTAAAACAGGGGGTCTCTGTGTCTGGGGGTCTGTACAGAAAGGGGGTTTGGGGGTCTCTGTGTAAAGGGAGGGGTCTCTGTGTCCGGGGGTCTGTACAGAAAGGGGGCTGTTTTGGAGGGGGGTCTCTCTGTGTAAAAGAGGGGTCTCTGTGTCCGGGGGTCTGTACAGAATGGGGGTGTTTTGGGGGCTCTCTGTGTAAAGGGGGGTCTCTGTGTCAGGGGTCTGTACAGAATGGGGGTGTTTTGGGAGGTCTCTGTGTAAAGGGGGGTCTCTGTGTCCGGGGGTCTGTACAGAACAGGGTATCAGGGGTGTCACGGGGGTCTCTGTGTCCGGGGGTCTCAGGGGGTCTTGGGGGGTCTCAGAGGGGTCTCTGTGTTTGGGGGCTGTACAGAATGGGGGGTGTCAGGGGGTCTCTCTG